GCTTAGTAAAATACATTTTTTTAGGAAATTACAATATTCAGAATTGGATAAATTTTGATCAAAATAGTAATCTAACCATTAATTTTAATCTTACCCCTATCTAAAGCTTTCTGCTAGCTATAATTTTCCTTTTATTTATAATTCACTAGTCATATCAAGAGCTAAATATAAAGAAAAATCTTGTAAATCAGTTAAATGAAAAATTTTACCTAGGTACTTCTAATTTTAAAGTTGTTGAATATGGTAAAATGATACAAATATTGCATAAAAGTCATATGCAGTAAATTAAGCTTAAATGCACCAACAATAAAATTTGCATCTTCAGTTATATTGTAATTATAATTCAATTATTTCGGTGGTTTCTAACAAGTTTTCTGTCGATTATTAGTAAGACTTATAATAATTTCTTAATTAAATAGACAATCAATTCCATCATAAATGGAGTACAAATGAAGTGATTTATATTCACATTTTTTAATAACTGTTATAAATTTTTCTTAACACCATAATTTAAGAAGCTCTTTTTTCAATGAGATCATTATTGAATTTGTTTGTATATGATTAAAAAATTCAATTGCTTATAGCTTTATTATAATTTGATCTACATTTTGGTGGTTAAATAAAAAATCTTAATTTTATTTTTAATTAATTATTGTGCTAATATTTTATATTAACTTAAATTCATTGATGGATATAGTTTATTCCCTTAATTGTTTAAAAAACTTGTAAAATCTTTTGATAGCTCTTTTAACACTAACTTCGCAATATTACCGAATGTATTCTGAGCTTTGTTCTTCTCCTCAAATAATTTTGAGATTATCAGTTGTTTTGGAATACCAAATATAATTTATTTTATAAAATTACAATGAATATTTATTTTAATTGAGATCTGTCTTATTTTTATTTTCTGTGTACTCATCCAATTCATCATAAAATCTATAATTAACAATTATTATTCTGTTTATTTTATATCATTAATCGATTTATTTAGAAGATTTTCTATTTCATCTAAATATTGAATCAAGAATGATTTCTAATTAGATATATTTAATTATAATTATTCAATCTTTTAGCTTCTTTTATAATATTGATGCAAAAGCCTTACACATATAAATTATTTGATTTAATACTATAGTTTTTTTGTTTTTTAATTAGTATGAGGAAGGCTTAATAAAATTAAATAAAATAGAATTTTTAATTGGAGCTTATTTTCTAAGCAAGGAAATAGAGACTTGTTCTAGAAGATTTAAATTTAGCCTTAAATCAATATAATTTATTAATACAGATGATATTGCTATCAACTAATTTGATCCTTTAGTTGAATGATTAATAGCAAAAATTCATTCAACAAATTATAATTCCTTTAATAAATTATGTCATGCTTTAATATAATTTTAGTTAGAATTTCAATCAAAATACTTCGATTATGAGAGCTATATTCTGATCTCTACAATTAATTTATATAAATAGTATTAGATTTATTATAATTTTCAAATACTTATAACGGTAAAAAGTGTTAAGTAGTTTAAGATGGAAAGTTTTTGAATGTTTAAAATACTTATAATTAAATACATCTTTGTGATTAAGCAATTCCAAATACAGGAAAAATAAGATTTGCATTGTAAATTCTGAGTTTACAATTTGATAGATAAATTCTTTTTGTTAAAATTTTTATATGATTCATTAATAATTTGATTCAATTTTCTAAATTTTTACATAATATATACTAAATACATTTAAAAATTTTTATCAAAAGTTTTAAATTAAGAGATATTATGATTATGTAAAATTAGAAAATCAAGGATTATCTTTGTTGAATGGAAGTAATTTCAACATTGGAGAGCATACGATTACATTTAAATATAAAAGAATTCTTTAAAGTATTTCAAAAAGCAAAATGAAAAATAGTAAAGAAATAAGAATTAGAATTAATTGCGAATTAACGACATCATCTTAAATAAAATAGATGAGTAAAAAAAGTATTCTAATTCTAGAGGATTTCAAATAAAAATAATCAAAAATGATATTTCTAAAATAAGGATGTTAATTAAATACTAGATTGAAAAAAGTTTAAACTCTAATTCATTGGAAGAAGATTAATAAGATATGAATCAATTACAGTTTAATAATAATGATAACTGGATTGAGACTTTGAAGGATATAAAAAAAAAAGTAGAACTTTATTACTGGAAACAGAAGTCTAAGTTGTGTCTTTTTTTATAATTTTTATGGTAAAATAATTTCAATCAGATTAAGATTCATTTTGTTCAAATAATTAAATGATGGTGTCTTATAATTGCTATTTAAATTGAATCGTTAATTTAAGGTTAATGATGACTTAAATTATACTTGTAAGTTTAATATTTAAGATAATAGACAGATGGTATAATTAAATATCATAGTTTTTTTATTCATTTCTAATCAATTTAATCATTATTGGATTATTATTAATTAAACCAAGGCAGACAAAATATCTTTTTGATTCAGAAAATCTAAGATAATTTTATTAATTAGGTTACAATTATTTTTTTTGAGTGTATTTTCATTTGAAATTTATTTGGTATTTATGTTTATGATGATTTTTGATAATAAAGGCTGAGTGATTGATATCAAATTAATTCTATCATTAATTTAATTATTTTTTCTTCAAAATGATAAAATAATTTGAAGTCTACAAATTACGAAATTCTTAAGATTCAATGTATATTTCTGTTGGATTATTATTTTAAATTTTAATTTTAATCAAATACTAATACTAGATTTCTATGGTTAAAGTTAAAAAATAAGAAGGTATTTTTCCTGAATTCATTTTTTTAAATGTGTAAGCAACATATTAAATAATCTTAATAGATAAACAGAGTTTTCTCTATATTTTTATAAGAAAGTTACAAATTTTATTGAAAGTTATTCAAATTATTTAAATTCATCTTCATTTTGAATTTTATCATTTTTTAAAAGTAATGTTGCACCTAATTCAAAATAATGTTTATATTGAATTTGTTACTACTTAAAATAAATTTATTTAGATTTTATTTGCAAAGACAGGTAAAGTAACAACAATTTTAACAATGAATCCCTAAATATTTTAGTATTAAAATGAAATCGCATTGATCTATTTTTTCCAGATTGCATAATAAAGAAATGAATTCTAAAGGATGAATCATATTCATATTGCCATAATCTAACTTTTTCTTTTTTCTTTTTAGATCCCATTGTTAAAAAGAAGTAAAAAAATTAGAAAAATGCTTCATTTATTCAATATATTAAATTTATTTATTATTTCAAAATAATCTTTGATTTAAATATTTGAATAATTAGATTGCATTTATCATTCATAAAGTAGTGAATTAGACAATGGATTATATAAATAAATATCATTTTTATACTTAATATAAAGGTTATTTATGTGAGAGAATAAAAACCAAATTTTTTGATTTTTCTGTTGATCAAAGTGGTTATTACTAAGGAATATAATAAAAGAAACACCTACTTTAAATAAGGCTGTTCATTAATACTTTTCAATCGTAAATAGAGAGTAAGATAATAAGTAATCTATTGAGGATATAACTTGGAAGAAATTTAAAAATATAAAACAGGATCAATGAATATATAATGAAGGCTAGACTTTTATAAGAAAATATTAATGATGTTTTAGCAATAATAGGCATTATTTGAAAGATGATTAATAATGGTATTTCTTGGGACAAGATACAAAGAATGATTAATGATGGTAAAAAAGAAGGAAAGATATAAAAAGGCATGAATATACTAGCTGGTTCTTTCATAATGAAATGGGTTGTACAATATTATATAAAATATATTAAGATAGTATTAATAGACACGAGGAAGAAAGAAAGAAGAAATTAAGAGATGAATAATCACAAATTGATGAATATGAATAAAATGAAAGTGAAATTACTGAAAAAATATATTTTACTCTCATAATAGAAGCTAAAATTAACAGAAATACTAAAAGAATAACTACCATGATAGATGGATTGATGTCATATAATAAATTCTATAATTATTTTTCACTCAATTATAATTAATCAACAGAAGAGTTAACAACATTAAAATACTTTATATATTTTATATCTAAACTGAAAATTATTTAATTTAAAATTTTATATATAGAAGAAAAGATAAACTCCATTTAATCATGATGAAATCCTTCTAAAATATAATTTAGATTTCTGTATATAATAGATTTATATTTTTATCATTTATTGCAAATCTATATTATATTTGAGGTGACAAAATATCTTAATACTTGTTAACTAAAAAATAATTCTATAGAAACTTTTCTTGTATAAAAATTGGATTTTAATTATTAAAAAATCATGATTTATTTTCCTTGAACATTCTATATATTTTCCTTCGTTCTTTTAATGCTGAGAAAAAAATAAAATTTAATTAATGATAAAATGATAATAACTAATAAGTTATAATATGAATTAGATTCATCTAATTTTACAACTTTTTTTTGATTCATTCAAAGCACTCTTAATAACATTTTATGTTGTAGAATATTTAGTTCTAGAACAAATTTTATTTTATGTAATGGTTTAATGATAAATTAATTAATTTAAAAATGTCAAAAATATGTCAAAAGCTTCTTATGCGAAATTTTAGAGAGCAAAAAAAGAAAATCCATTAAAATAACAATAATAAAAAAAATAAAATTAAAAATTATTTGGGTGGGCATTCAAAGAAAAAAAAAGAGAGAATGGAAGATGACAGAAGCATGGTAGTGAGTCGAAATACCCTTCCAGATCTCTAGAATCTCTGCCAGAATGCCCCCACCCACAGGAGCCAATTTTTCATAGATGACAAAATCGGTCGAAATTGGTCGGATCCCAATGTGAGCAAAATAAAAAGAGGGTGTTCTTAGTAAAGGCTCTTGGAATTCTGGTGAATGGCCGTCTTTGACGAGTCGAACTTTTAGATGGGCCTGATGGGAAAAAGAGGTGAAGAGAGATTCAAGAACTAGCCTTTTCGACCATATCCAATAATGCCTGGACGTTACACCTCAAACCCTTAATCATCAATATATCTCGGGGGATGAGGGTAAATGGGTCGGATTATCGTGGATAGACGAAGAGACAGCCAAGTTCGGGTTGATTACCGGATTCCTCCTAGCGGAATAGAAATTAGGAGGTTTATGATTTATCCATTATAACAATAATAAAAATAAACAATTAATTCTGAGAGGATTTGGAATTTCAATTTAATAAGCATTTTAGACTATCCTTTTCCAACAAAAATTTTTTAAAGATTATTTAAAACTAAGTAAGTCTATTAATAATTAATTATTAAATGTTACTCTGTCAAACATAAATAAATGATATTTTAATTTATTCTTCAAAATCATTAAATGACTCACATGAATCACTAGAGAATTATTTGAATTGCTATAATTTTTATTTATTGATAACCAGTTTAATTAAAATAAAAATCAAAAATTATGAAAAAAATTTCGTTTTTTTTCTGATTATCTAAGATATAGTTTCAAAATACAATCATTTTGTTTTGAAATGATTGAATGCTAAAATGAATTGTATTATTTAATTTATCAAATTTGAAATAAAATTAATGCTTATGAATTGGCTTAAAATAGAGTGAATAATTTTTGAGCTATCCTCCTCATAAATTTACAGTCTAAAATTCAAAAAAATTACTCATACAAATAACTTTATCCTACCATAACCACTATTTTTGATTGCAATTAATTTAATACATTGTAATTGAATCATTTTACTAATGGAGCTAAAGTAAGGTTATGGATATAAAGAAGGCAATTTGCTAGTAACACTACTCTTAAACTGTTATAGTAGAGAATGATAAAAGCCGAAAGAAAGTAATAGGTTAGTTGAATATCTAATACAATCTTCATGACCTAAAACATAGTTTTGCTTAATGATACTCTTTTACTTTGAATATAGATTATTATCCGTATTTCAAGCAAATTTATATTTGAATATCCATAATTCTAAATTTTTTATAATGTAAATATTTTTTCATGTTGATTTTTGATTGGATAAATATAAATCATCAATAAAAGGATGTTATTTATTTATACAAACAAACTAAAAATAAAGTACTTTATTCTTATATGATATTAATATTTTTTGCAAATATATTTCTAAGTATTATATTTTAAACATCAATAGTTACCAGAAGAAAATAAATAAAAATCAATACACAATTCTAGAGCTTTGATGAAATCTTCTCCTTTTCAAGAATAAAATTTCATCAAAAACAAGAGTTAAAAAATGCAACAATCTAGAATGATGTTATTCTATAATAAATTGTTTCTTTATGTATGTTACCCCATAAAAATTATGAATTTAATCTTTTTTTAATTATATACATCTTTAAAATTATTTAATATTTGATATTTATATAAACAATTAAAATACTCGACAACATTTGATATATAAAATTTTTATCATGACAAAATTTTATTGTTTACTCTTGCTCTTTTAAATCTGTTGGCTTTGAACTTCTAAAAGCTTCTCAATAAAAAAACAATAAATTTTACATTAGTGTATTTGGCCAAGAAAGTAAACAATTAGTAAAATAAAGCTAAAAAAAGAAAGAATTTGTATATTTCAAAGTGTATTGCAACTCATAAGATACTCAAATCGGGTATTTAAATAACCAATTATATAAGTTTTATTTAATCATTGATAAAGAAAAGAGAATAATTGGAGAATTAAAAATAAACCATCCAGAAATCTCATTTCCAATAAAATTAATTAACCATTCCATTCTTAAATGGATTTTTGTTATTTTAACATTATATTACTTACTATTACATTATAAAATCTCTTTTTGAAAAAAGTTATCTAAAATAATCCTTTATAATTAATCATTTTTATTTATGTATCATTTCAAATTCTAAACCCGGACAAGCATTTCCATAATAAATTTATTTTTTTATCTAATCATGCTATTCTCTTGTTGTTTATTGATGCTCTTCTTATTATCAATGTAAGAACTTCAAAATATATTTAGATAAGTGAATAGCTAGTGTGAAGATTTACCTTTTAAAGATGAAGTAAATGTACTCAATCCTTAAGGAGAGTATATCTAAGAATTATCAGAAAAAATTATTCAAGGTGAAGAGAATGTAGGATTTGGGATTTGGATGAAATATCAGCCAATGCTTCAATTGTAAGATATAAGTATTTTTTTAATAAAAATGATAGATGATAGAAATTCTAACTTAATAATCTCAACAACTAAGAAGATTATTGTAAATGGAGGATACTTCATTTATCTAATGGAATAAAATATCAATAAATTTAAAAGTGTTGTTGTTTCTGTAGTTATCCATTCAAAGGATTAAAATATTTATTACAATATATATTATTCTTTTAAATAAAGTGTAGGTACTCTCACTTTTGGAGTTGATGTGTTAAAATATGAAGGTGTGTGGATAATGTTTTATGTTTATTTTGATTAAATTTAAAAATAAACAACATTTGGATTTTACAATACTTTGGATATTATACCAACATAAGCTGTTGATGATGTTCCAAATTTCGAATTGAATTTAAAACATAAATTCGGAGGTTTATTTAATTATGAAAATGAAAACGAAGAGCTTGTTATACTTAAAAGATTCAATGGTTTAATATATTATACATTCACAACAAAGGAAGAAAATACTTTTTCTAATTTAGAGATTTGTGCAAATCCTGGATAGAATTTTGATACTTGTTACGATGAAGAACGCTTGATATTTAAATTAAGTGGAGATAATTAATTAATGATTGGAAAGAGTTTTCAATAATTTGAAATGAATTAAGGATTAAGGTCAACAATTTATATATTGAATGGATGGCTTAAATTAGATTAACTAAGACAATCTGAAGCTGAAACTGTGATTTTTCGAATAACAATCAATCAATTTTATAATGATAACTTATATATAGGAGATAGAGAGGCTCTTCTTAAATATTATTAAAGTAGTATTCTAGATGAAAATGGATTTGAAATTTCAACTTATTCTTATTCATTTCCAATTAAGAGAAAGTCTATGACAGATAATGATCACAAAATCTCTTAATTTGGAGAAGAATTTTAAGAATTGCTTATAAATTGGCATTTCTTCTAATATGAATTTGGAACATAAAATAACAATGGCCAACCTAGACTTTAAATATATTTTCCTACAATCAAGGAAGTTCGACTATATGAATGGGCTTAAGCTATAAATCATTTTAAATAAGTTTAATATTATATTTACATTGGAGGTGATCACTATTCTAATTAATTAATGAAAGGTTTTATAAGTGGTATTAAAATAGAATATTTCTGTATATCAAGTGAAGCTTAATTTAATCCAATATGCCATTATTCTTGTTTAACATGTGATGGCCCAACATAATATAATTGTTTAAGTTGTTCTGATAATAGTTTTAGATATTACGAAGATCTAATAAAGAGTTGTACTTGTTAATAAGGGTTTGTAGAAATAGATAATTAATTACAGTGTAAATCAATAGTATAGGGACTATTTCACATTTCTAAGTAAGAACTTGAATTAAAATGTTCAAAACCAGGATATAGTAATTGTGAAGGTTAGAACATTTAATGTAATTTTGGATATTTTTAATTTAAAAATAGTTGTATCAAATGGTATTAATTATTTCTTTATTCATAGTCCATTTTATGAAGATTTCTATTTAGGAACATAAATTCTTTGTTTTGATTGTATAATCGAACCCAAAAGATTTGCAGAAACACTTTAATGTTCAAAAACAGCTGAAACTTATCATGCTTAAAAAGATTATGTTTATAAAATAACTGAAAGATTTCTGGAAGAATAGAATTCATTCGAAATATAATTTAATGATTCTGAAAATGAAAATAATAAGATTGAATTACGTCAAGGATTTATATCAAAAAATACTTGCAAATAAGGATATTATTACAAAGACCATAAATGCCATCAATGTTAAGAGATGTGCAAATAATGTTAATCTATTTTCGAATGTGAATTATGTATTGATGGGTTTTATGTTGACTCTAATAAGTAATGTAGTAAATGTACAAAATGTAGAACTTGTTTATCACTTTAATAATGTTATACTTGTAATGAAGGATAAGAATATCATTAAGGTTCTTGTATTACTTGTGGTCATAATTGTAAAAGTTGTGACGAATAAGGTTATTGTAATTATTGTATTGGATCACATTCATTATATTATATATCGATGGATGGAAGAAATTGTAAAGAATGTAATATTGAAAATTGTATATATTGTTTTGAATATATTATAAATAATGAAGTTTATTACACTAATTTGAATGTGAAATTCCAAACAGTAAACTATGATGTTTCATATATATTTTATAGTTGTGCTTTATGCAAAGAAAACTACTTTTATAATTAAAACACTTAAAAATGTGAACTGAAACCTTTAAATGATGATTGTGATTTTGCAATAATCTTAAATGATTCTTCATAAAAATGCATCAAAAGTTACAATAATCTTGATGCTATTTAAAATATTGATTGCCCTACTAATCAATACTGTAAGTCCTGTATTAAGAATTATAATGATATTGATAGTTTTTGCATTGAATGTGAAGAAGGATATTATTCAAGTGAATTGTCAGGTTAGTGTAAAGAATGCTTATTCCCTTGTTAAACTTGCATTCAATAAAATAAGTAATATTAAGATTTCTGGAAATGGAAAATTAAAGCAACATATAAATTTTTATAAAATTCTAATGACGATAATGAGGCTTAAAGTTATGATGTCATTATTAATTTAGAATTAATATGCACTTCATGTTAAAGAGGATTTATATTATATGAGTAATAATGTATCAAAGATTGTGATGAAAATTGTGGGAAATGTGAAATTATTGATGGAAAATCAACTTGTGTTTAATGTTATGAAATATCCTCATCAAACTTTCTTAAAAGTGTAAATTCTGGAGGAAAATGTTTATAATGTCCATCTAATTGTATAGCTTGTATAGATAGAACAAAAATGGAAATCTATGAAATAAATCCATATTTCATTTTAACTAATTAAAATTTACATTTTACTAGAAAATGCTATGAGAAAACTAATGAGATTAATTAATTCAAAAATTATTTTTATGATTCTTTCACATAGTAAATTTCTGTTTGTAACATAAACTTATAGTGTTATAACAAAATAATAATAAAACAAAATTTATATTGTAGTGATGAACAGTTTTATACATTAAAGCATGAAGCAATACTTAGAGATGATTTATAATTTGAATAAAATAATCTGTGGATTGGTGATTTATTTGATGAGGATCATTACTTTAAAAAATTTGAAACTCCTTATATTTATCAATATTTAAATGAGATTTCAATTAGACAGGTTCAATATGAATTTACTCTGATTTAGGATTGGGGCCCTGAATGTTTTTTATCATAATACAATTAAATCTACTAAAAAATCTAATAAAATGTATTTTCTATTTAATAAGTTGACTTAGAATTTGTTGGAGAACCTTAATTTACAATTTTGCGAGTTTATAGCAACCTTACTTTTAGTAATTTTAGTACAATCAGTTTTAAAAATTTCAAGTTTATGTTTTCTAATCCTTCATACAATGTCCTGGGTTAAAATTACTTCCCTATTTTTTTATTTAGTATTAAATAAAGCTTAAGCTTAAAAATAATTGATTGTACTTTTATTACTAATAATGAAACAGATACAAATTATTCACTCACAATCAAATCAAATATACCTTATTCTTTATATATTGAAAATCTAATCATATCCAATTTTTATATATATAACTCAGATATTTTCACAATTACTTCTCAATAACACCCTAATGAAAATTATGTTTAATTAAAAAATATAGTAATAAAAGATTCTTACTTTTTCAATTCAAGTTTCTTAAAATTTTAAGCATAGATTGACTATTTAAGACTAAGCTCAATAATAACTTAGATTTAAATTAAAGAAACTAAGTTTATTTAATCAAATTTTTTAATTAGCAACTGTTTTCCAAATTATTCAGTCGGCTCATTATTTATAAATTCGATAACTTTATAGAATATTATTCTAAGTTCAAATTCAACCTTTCTGTATCTTCCTTGTATTGATTAGTCTTAATTAGAAAAATTAATTTTAAATAACTCAATCATAGCATTTGGATCTAAATTTTATTACTCAAATGTTATAAATCTTTAAGATTTAATCATAAATAATACTAAAATTTCTTAGAGCAATCTAATCTCAAATAATTTAGATTACTCAAAGTCATAATCTGCATTATTAGCATCTTCAAATATAGTTTTGAAAAGTTTTTAAATAATTAATGTAGAATATGATGAATATTAATAAATATTAGTGATAAACAAATATAAAGAAATAAGTGGCTTAAAATTGGAAGTATTAGGATTAATAATATCAAATTGTTTAATTTCATCCAGAAATTAAAGAAAATAGACAAGTTATGAATAATCAATGATATTTATTGAATGCTAAATTTGTATCTTGAATGATATATAAATAGTAAGAAGATATGGATTACCTGAAATAACTGTAATTAATTCAGAAAAATTAGAAATCAAAAATCTAATTATTTCTTAAAATTAGTAATTCTTACCAAAAGCTCTTCATTCAATTATAGAATGTGTAGATTAACATGCTCCTTTAGATATGTATTTTTATATTTATATTGGATAATATAAGGATGTATTCATCGATAATTTAAAGGTTTCAAATAGCTTGAGTTTCAACAATCCTTTTATTATTTTAAAAGGTTATGATATAATGGAAAAGCTTATCATTGAAAAGATAGTTATTTAAAATACTAATTTCATGTCAAACATTCTTATTATTTTTGATGCAAATCAACATACATCTTTAATTTCAATTGATTCATAATAAGAATCTTCTGTAATTCTATCTAATGTAAATTTTTTATATAATCATTTAAATGAATATTATTAGGATTTAACAAGAGTTTCAGCTACAACAATATTTATTTAGTTATAATTTGGAATAGTTTTATTGGAGAAATGTTTTTTTTTATAAAATATAGTTACTAATTCAAGTGACTCTATTCTTTATTTAAAAGTCTTTAGTTTTTAGTTGTGGAATTCCCACTTTTAAAATAATGGTTTATTAAATGTTTCTTCATTAAGTTAAAATTTAATATTTTCCTAATTGCAAGATTTGAGCTAAATTAATTTTAATATTATATTTCCAATTAAATCTAACGGAGGAAATGGATATTTAATTCTCAACATTTTAGAAATAAATAATCTTACAATAAATACTTCATATTCTTAGAATGGAGGTGGATTTTATATTACAACATAAGGGAAAAGTTCAATAAACATATTAAATTCCTTTTTTTATAATACCATTTCTTCCTTAGACTCATCAATTTATTCAATAGGTGGATGTTTGTTTATTGATGCATCTTCATCTAAAATTACATTTAAAATGCATAATACAATCATAGATACTTCTTATAGTAGATATGAAGGAGGAGCTATTTATATTAATCCTTCACTAAGTTATAATTAGATTGAAATATAAAATTTGGTCGTTAAGGAATGTTTTTCGCTATAAAATTCATTTTTTTCATATGTACTTTCAAAAATTGAAACTATTTTCTCATAGGTAATTTTTAAAAATATTGTTTTTTAAATTACAGAAGAAGGATTTTAAAAATACTTTTCTTAAATATCAGATTTATCAGAAAATGATGCTTCAAATATTGCTACATCAAATCCTACGATATTTATATAATATGGAAATATTACAATTTTTAATTGTAGCTTTGTTTCTAATTTCATTTAATTCCTCATTAAAATTGAATAGGCTTAAAATATAATATTTTCAAACGTGAAAGTTATTAATAGTACTGTTTTATAGTCGCCCTTATTTAAATTTAATTTAAGATAAGGTAATATTTTATAATTATTATTATTAGAATTTTTTGGGTAATTATAAATTTCTAATTTAGAATTATCTAATATAATTTAAATTCGCAAAAACTTTAATTATTCTTGCAATTTATAGAATAATAGCGTAATATCTGAACTTTAATGCCCATCTTACTTGCCTTAAGTTCCTTTATAATATTCAGAAAATGATAAAACAGAATTAAATTAATAGCGATTAAATTGTAACGAATAGTTAATATTCTCTAACAAAAGATTTAATTTTAGCTTAATTGAATTAGATAAATTTAATAATACCCATAAACTTATAGTTGAAAAAATCCATTTATATAATGTATTATGTGAAACCTGTTAGTTTGGATTATTCAGAATTTTATAAATAGAAAAATAAGAAGAAGAAACTTTGAAGTTTTCTTAAGTTACAATTAAAAATTGCATATGTGGAAATACAGGTTGCCTATCAATTTTGCAATATTATGACGAATCAATTTTAAAAAAAAGTTTATTAGAATCTTAAAGAATATTGCAACAGCATAATTATGATAAGCTGAGCTTTTAATTAAACCAATAAATTAATATTTTAGATAGCGTATTTATTAATAATACTGCAATTTATGGAGGGTCTTTATTTATAATTGAAGTTGGGATATTAATAAAAAATAGTATTTTTTAAAATAATTCTGCATAAATAGGAGGGGCAATTTATTATTATTCATAAGAATCATAAATTTTAATTCTAAATTCTAAAATAATATCTAATACAGCTAAAGTAGCTGGAGGAGTATTTTTATATGAATAATCTTTTTAATTAACAAAAGAATTAGATATATAATTGTCTAATAATAATTCAACATTATATGGTCAGGATATCTTTGAAAAGCCTCGATCATTAACTTTATCTATAGATGGAGGTTAAACTTTTTTAGAAAAAAGTCTTCACACTGTATCTGAGGATGAAATCGTAGAATAAATAATTAATAAACCTTATAAGATATTGGGTTATTCAGAGAAAATGTAATATATAACACTTCCAACAGGAAGATCTATAAGCAGTTATTCATATTTTGATTTTCAAACATCTACTATCATTCCTTATAATTTAACTTTCAGGATTATTCCTTTGGATAAATTCTAAAATTAAATTAAAGGATTATCAAAGTCTATTTGCACTTTATATCCCAAGGTATTTAACTTATCATCTTAAACTGAAGAAATAAATTTAAACTATAGTCTTTCTTATTATAATGTTAGTTTTGATGAAAAGACTGGAGATTATAATTTAGATGATTTAACCATATATTTTAAACCAAATTTGAGTAATAGTCTTGTTCTTTAATTATTGATATAGTGTAATTCTATACTTGTTCCTTAGTATGAAAATGAACCTCCATATAAAATAACTAAAAACATTTCAAATTATAAATTATTAGTAAATATCAAAACATTTCCATGTCAATTAGGAGAATTTCTGAATACAACATCTGGAGGTTGTACACTTTGTGATACATTTTAAAATTAGTATTAAGTTTAATGGAATGCATAAAGTTGTACTTAAAAAGATGATTTTAAAATTAGATAAATAAAGCCTGCTATGATAGAATTAAGATCTGGTTATTGGAGACCTTATTATTATAGTTAAACTATTGAATATTGTTATCATTTAGTTGAAAATTGTGAAGGAGGATGGAAACCAGGAGATGATTCTTGTATTACAGGTCATATTGGAGCTTTATGTGAATAATGCGATTTATATAATATTGTTGGATTAGGATAATATTCTGTAAGTTCGAAATATTCTTGTGGAAGCTGTGATCAAATTATAGGCAATATTTTAACTATTGTATTTATCAGTGCTTGGACACTTATTTCTATTTTGATGTCTGTTGGTAGCACAGTTGAAATGATTAAAGAATTTATAGTTGGTTTACGTTTAAAATCTCTTGGGGTTACTTTTGTTGTCAAATAAGCTTCAACAGCTATTTTAATAAAAGTGCTGACAAATTATCTTTAAATTATATCTACTATTGCTACTTTTTAACTTTAAGTGCCATCTGGATTAGCATCAGTAGTAAATAGTGTTGGAAGTCCTATTGAATCAATGGGTTATTCTTTAGATTGCTTCCTTATTTCAATCACTGATATTCCAATTATTTATTTTAGAATAATTTGGAGTCTACTAATGGCATTTTCATATATTATTATCTTTTTTATAATTGAAGGAATTAGAGTTATAACAAAATCTATATCTTTTAACATCTCTTATGTTTCAACTGCTTTAATTTATGTCTTTATTTATTTGCAACCAAACATAATAGGAGGCTTAATATCCCTAATTTCATTTAGAATTATTTCAGATGAATATTGGATTTAGGGTAACGTTGCATATAAATATAATACATCTGAACATGCAAAATGGTTAGCATCTTTTTGTTTACCTTTGTTATTACTATTTAGTATTTTGATTCCTTTATATTTTTGGTTTGGAGTGAGAGAAAATAGAGCTAATTTAGATAAGACAAGTGTTAGATAAAAATGGGGGTATTTATATAACGAGTATAAATTGCATGCATATTATTGGGAAACAATTAAAATTTTATAAAAAGAATTTATGATAATAGTACTTACCTATTATGACGATCATGTTCCTATTAAGGCTTCTCTAGTATTTTTAGTTTTATTTGGTTATAGTTTTTTAACAACATCTTCAAAACCTTACATGACTGGGTATTTGAATTATCTAGATACATAATCAACAATTGTTTGTGCCGTATCAATTATCTTGGGAAGTTCAATTTATACTGCTTAATAATCTGATTTATTTGAAATAGTTTGGCCCTTCTATATTATCATAGGAATATTAAATGGATTATTTATATTAAGATTGTTAATTAAAATTTTATTTGCTTATTTCCATAAATTGAATGAATAAATCGATAAGATTAAGGAACTAATTACAAATAAATTTCCAAATTAAATAAAACGATATCCTTTTATACAAGAAATATTTGAGAGCAGAAAAAAATAATAAGCAAGAGTTAAAGAGAGATATGCTAAAATTAGAAATCATTTGTTACCTTAAGCTAGAATGATACTAGAATATAGAAAGTATTTTTTATGTGCATTTTTAGATTAAATAATTTCGATTTGCCTGTTAGAATTTAAACTTAAATATTTGAAAATGAGTAAGATAATATTTAAAAAAACGATCGCAATAGTAATGATAGTAATTTTGGTGTGAATAGTCCATTATTTACAGGCAGCCGTTCTAAAAAAATTGAAACTTTATTTAAAACGCCTTAAATGTCTAAAATTTACCCAGAATTAACCACTAATTACATAAATTAAGATAATTTAAAGTCAAGTATCCATCAATCTTAAAACTGACATTTGAGAGAAATTATAATGATCAATTAAATTATTAAATATATTCAATTTATAAAAATGTACTCAAAACCTTTTAAATAATGAATATGAGCATATCTCAATTTTGACTTTGATTTCTATCTTACAATATTATTTTTAAATTGATGGTAAATTAACAAAATTTTTTCTATTTTCAAGCAGTAATAATTTTCTTAAAAATATCTCTATAAAAAATTATAATTCTTTTTTCACTAAAAGCAAAAAATACAAATTTAATTGCTCCAATTTAAATTAGTTCTGTTGTTGTCTGTTCTGCCCTAATAAATTTAATAAAAAATTTATTTTAGAAACTAATATATTTTTATTTTCATAATTAAAAAGTTAGATCTAAATGATTTAAATTTAAAAAAAAAGGTTTTCAAAATTTATTAAGTAATTGAAGAAATAACGAGACAATTCTGTTGATAATTCATAAAAAAACAATGAGTTAAGTTTAAAAATTTTTAAATTAAAGATTCCAATTTAAGAAGTTAATTAATGATATATTTATGACTAAATTGTTATAGATTCTCTCAGACTCAAAAATCTTATTATTAATCTGTACAAGAATATTTATGATTTAGACTGATGCATATCAATATGTGCTAAGATTGAAAAATTATATGGACTAGAATAAAAATTAGGTTTGTAATTTGTTTTTAGAACTTGATTTTTATTAATAACTTTTTATTTGAATAAAGACAGTAATTTAAAATTAATTCCAATCAAAATATTATATTATTATTTGATTGATAATCTAAGAAATGTAAACCCTTCAGCAGATCTCAATCCCAAAGACTACAGATAAATTAAATATTCTTATTAAAATATTTATCAAATGCTCACTCTAATTAAAGAATTAACTTTTCATCTTAATGTTTAAAAATTTATTTTTAGAATTTGATTATTTTTTTCTAAGTTTTGCTCAAATTTTTATCTATTATTTTCTATTAATTTTATTACTGATTAATAACTAAAAAATGATGATAAATAATTACACTTGGTTACATTTTATAATCCATTAACAATCATTTCCTTGCCAAAATCAATTTTAGATTTTAATCCTTTATTTAATACTAATAATATTTATTCTTTAATTAACCACGAAAGTATGTTAAAATTATTGATTTATGAAAACTTTGCTAGATTCAAAATGAATTAATAAACCTCTTCAACTTTACTATTTAAAATGAATTTTATAATTTAAGAAACCAAAAATTTATTTTGAAATAAAATTTCCTGTTAAATTTCAGACCCTACAAAAAATTATGAAACACACCAAAAAACCTTATAATAATTTAGTAAATACTTCATGTTGTTTAATTATATATTTTTTCTTTTTTTAAATGATTTTCATAACTCTCAGTAATTCTAGAAGCAAATTTTGATCAAATAATTTAATATTTGATTCTATTAAAGTTTTGATCATATCAAAAGAGGATTTACTAATATTTTAATTTCTACTTTGAATTAATTTAAGTAAATTAAATATTGTTTAACTTTCTATTAAAATTGAATAAATTTGTGTTGTAAAAGGAAGAAACTGTGAAAATATCTTAAAGCATCCACATACAATCTTTTCATCTTCATTTTAGTTTAGCAAAGTGCAAAGCATAAAGATAACTTTTTTTATTTTATCCTCTTCCATATGTGTTTTTTTTAAACTAAAAATATTTTGTAAACTCCAAATACATATTTCAATGTCTTCAAGTTTATTTAAATGATTCATAACGTTTGAGATTAAATCAAGTCCATCATTTTCTAATATATAAATTCCATAATTCGCTTCCTCGTTATCGAACAATACAAGATTTCCTAAAGCTACAATTGAGGACATAGAAATCAGTAACTGTGAAGCCTTTAATTGAGTTAAAAGAACTTTTAAGACTTCTATCTGCATTATATGATTCTGAAAATAGCCTTAAACAATTATTGTGACTAAAACATAAACAGATTCAAGTTTTAATAATTCAATTTCATTGAATTCAATTATATGAATTAATCTTTGAATTAAAACTTCATCGACTATTATTATTTCACTTAATTATTAATCGTTTGCTTGCTATTCCATAAACTTTCTTATTGAATACAAATTTTAAAAAGTTCTAATTGGATCTTATTACCCTAATTTTGAAATATCAATGTTTTTAACCCCAACAAGACTTTATAATGAATGTTAAAAGTAAAAGGGAAATTATTTTAAAATTTCTTTTGATATATTTTGAGGTTCTAATTTCTGCAATTCTACGAATTCTTAAGAATAATTTTGTTGGCTTTTCTTCTGACAATTTTAATTAGATTCTGGATCCATATAAAAAATACAATTATCTTAATTTTTAATTCTTTAAGAAAAAATTAATATAATTACAAAAAATAAATATTTTTTTTGAAACAGTGGCATTTTTTATAAAATCATATAATTATTAATCTAAAAATATTATTCCCAAAACAAAAAATTTAAAGTATATATTTAGGTTAAGTCTTTTTCTAGAAAGCAATTTCATCTGTTAGTAGCAATATCTATTAAGTATTTGCTATTAATGCATTAAGATGTAATATTCAGTAAAAACCAGCCTTTTATATATTTCTTCATTCTACTGTAAGTAATTTTATCTTTTATACCTCCTATATCCAATGTTAATTTAATGTGAGATTGAATGTTTTACAAAATCATTTGTAGTTGAGATACTTAATAAGATAAAAGGTCTTGCAAAATCTTTTTATAAAAGAGAAAAGAGGAAGAAGTTTTTTAAACAATAAATTTCATCATAAGCTTATTCAACAATAAACTTCTATAATTGTCTATGTTTTCGATTAATTAAAATCAAATCAAAGTTTGGGAAAAATACTTAAACCTTAAATTATCCCTTCGATTGAATCTTGGAGCAAAAAATTTAAGCATTCTCTTAATTGAAGCTAAAATACCTATTATATATATTTTAATAAGCTTCTAAAATAATGTGAATAAAGGGATAGCATAGCTTAATGCATAAGATAATTATCAAAAATTAAAATGTTGCTGGCCAAAATTAATTTCCTTATTATTCGCAAATATATTTTTCTAGCGATAAAAATATAGTGATAGAGCTTAAATTTCATAATAATATATGTTTTAATACTAAAAGATAATGCAAGATAAATTTATAAAATTAAAATGAATAATGATCCTTTTAAGAAGATATTTGTTTAAAAATAGGTTAAGTTAAAAACCATAATAATTTTTGACCAGATTCTAATAAATTCCCAAAATAGCTTTTTTCTTAACATTCATTAAATTAAATCTAATTTTTTTCTCAGATTGAATAGCAATATAAAAACTATCACAATGAAACTTGGAATTATAAACAAAAAAATTAATCGCTAATAGTAAATGAAAAAAAATCTAAAGATGCATTTCCTTCAATTGATCAATGATAGAAATTCTCCTAATGGATAAGGATATTCGAAATTATGCTTTCATCAAATATTTGATGATTAACTAAAGTATGAAGAGAATTCCTCCAATTATAATCAGGAAAAATATTATCAACTATTTGACACATTTACAATATTACGGTTAAACACAATTGATTTGAGCTGGTTTTAAAAATTACTATTAGCACTTTTCATTCAGTTTTTTTCCTAAAAATTACACATTCATGATTAAAAAGAGAGATTTTTATTCACCTAAAGGAATTTTTAACTGTAAATGCTAATTAAAATTTCATTTCCTCTTGACAATATTTAATATGATTGTTAAAATACTGCCAAATTCTCATTTGTTAAATTTGAGTTATTATAAGCAGCATTTAATACCATTATCTAAAAATGTAAATTCCGAAGTGTCGCTTATAATATTTTTTATAATAGTCTAGTTTGTTAAATCAAAATTTTAATTATTAGAATTTTAAGATATCAATTTTTATGACTCTGAAAATTCAAAATCTTTAATCATTTCAGATAAATTTAGTTCTTTACAGTGATATTGCTTTAAAATCCATTGGTTATTTATTCGCCTTAAAAAATAGGTTATAATAATATCTTTCTAGAAAAAAAAGAGAATATTGTACCTGTTTCTAACCCAGAAATATCTTGATATTGATTAATAAATATACTTGAGGCTATCAATTAGTATAATTTATATAGTCATTAAGTTTATTACCCTAAATTTTCTGTAAGAATTGATTGAGATTATCATATGACAATAAACTATTTAATATAGTTTGAGCAAATTGAGATACACTTGGTTCCAATACTATAACCATCATATGGTTTTAACATGTGCTTGCTCGTTAATTTAAATTAATTATGTGCTAATATCAGAATTACTAATTTGTTTAAAAACAAAATAAAAAAATTAACCTCTTATAAATTGCCATTTCTTGAGATAATCGGTTCTTTTTAACCTCAGAATCTGATTCAATAATAATTGATAGCTTTACATTGACCTAAAAAATTAATAAGATTTTTTAATATTATCCTACAAAATAAATNAAATTATGCTTTCATCAAATATTTGATGATTAACTAAAGTATGAAGAGAATTCCTCCAATTATAATCAGGAAAAATATTATCAACTATTTGACACATTTACAATATTACGGTTAAACACAATTGATTTGAGCTGGTTTTAAAAATTACTATTAGCACTTTTCATTCAGTTTTTTTCCTAAAAATTACACATTCATGATTAAAAAGAGAGATTTTTATTCACCTAAAGGAATTTTTAACTGTAAATGCTAATTAAAATTTCATTTCCTCTTGACAATATTTAATATGATTGTTAAAATACTGCCAAATTCTCATTTGTTAAATTTGAGTTATTATAAGCAGCATTTAATACCATTATCTAAAAATGTAAATTCCGAAGTGTCGCTTATAATATTTTTTATAATAGTCTAGTTTGTTAAATCAAAATTTTAATTATTAGAATTTTAAGATATCAATTTTTATGACTCTGAAAATTCAAAATCTTTAATCATTTCAGATAAATTTAGTTCTTTACAGTGATATTGCTTTAAAATCCATTGGTTATTTATTCGCCTTAAAAAATAGGTTATAATAATATCTTTCTAGAAAAAAAAGAGAATATTGTACCTGTTTCTAACCCAGAAATATCTTGATATTGATTAATAAATATACTTGAGGCTATCAATTAGTATAATTTATATAGTCATTAAGTTTATTACCCTAAATTTTCTGTAAGAATTGATTGAGATTATCATATGACAATAAACTATTTAATATAGTTTGAGCAAATTGAGATACACTTGGTTCCAATACTATAACCATCATATGGTTTTAACATGTGCTTGCTCGTTAATTTAAATTAATTATGTGCTAATATCAGAATTACTAATTTGTTTAAAAACAAAATAAAAAAATTAACCTCTTATAAATTGCCATTTCTTGAGATAATCGGTTCTTTTTAACCTCAGAATCTGATTCAATAATAATTGATAGCTTTACATTGACCTAAAAAATTAATAAGATTTTTTAATATTATCCTACAAAATAAATGCAATGATCATTATTGTCATGGAGAAATGAATATCATTTTTATGAGATTCACATCTTCAAAAGACTAAAAAGAATTAATATTTTCAGCAAGTGCTAATGGTTTGACAATATATTTCATATAATTCTTATTTAAATAAATCAATAATTAAATAATTTATAATAAATTAATTAACAATGATTTATATTATACTAAATTTTAAGCTAATATGTATTTATGATTGATATTTTGAATATATTAAAAATCATATTCACACAACTGAGTATCCATTTTAATTTCTTTATCTAATAAATCTTTCTAAACTTTACAGAAGCTAGATCAGTATTTCTTTAATTTCTTAAATTTTCTGAATATTTGGTATAGCTTGTTTACCATTTATTTTTCTTATTCTCTTATTATATATGAATCCTAAAAAGTGAAAAAGCAGAGTAAATATTATTAAGTATTTGATTACAGCTTTTATGTAACTAAAAATACCTTATATAATGAATAAGAATATACTGTTATTGACAGGACATCCTATTGGATGGTAAATTTCTAAAGTAACTGTACATCCATAGCCTTGTACAATTCTAAATTATTTTTCAGCTTTTTCGCTGCAAACTATATTAAAAATAGCTGTTCTTGGCTTATCAGTTTATACAGCTCTATTTTGATTAGCCGTTTCTACACATTAAGAATTATCATTAAATGAAATAGAAATTCCATAATCTTTAGGTTTATCTAAAATGTGTGATATAGAAGTAGTTGATTTCAATCCTACAATGTCACAATTATCAGTGATAGTTCCCATTACTTCTAAGCCCTCATAAACAGCAACTGGTATTCCATGACAATTTAAATCGATATTACAGAAATTGAAAATGTAAACCATATTAAACATTCCCATACCTAAAATTACACAGTTTTATACCATTTTGAGTATCAACTACATGCCATGCTTAAGGATGATCTAATTGAGTATAATCATATATTCGATTATCTTCATCTACCCATTAGCATTTTTATTAATAGGACACTACAAATAATAAAAATAAATAATTCATATAAAATTTTTTTTGTCATTTCATTCTAAATTGCATCATGCATTTTGAAACTCTAATTTACTTTTCTCCTTTTGTGAGACTCTTGCGCTAAGATAAAAATTGGTTTGATTCAGATTCAATTTATTTGATTACTGATTTATTTCGATATTTATTATCAAATTATATGGATCTATTTCGAATAGGATCAGGTGTTTTATTTCTTGATGAAAAACTATATTAATTTTATTTTTTTTCTATATCTCCATTTTATTTCATTATATTCAATTATTTTAATTTTTTCATGTCAAAATAATCATTTTTTTAAATAAGTAAGATATTTTATTAGATTGAATCAATGCTATTATTAATGAATGTAACAAGTTTTTAGGCCCAATAAACTTTCTTTAAGCATTTTTTTGGTTTTCTTTTTGAAAAACTATGTGTTTTCGAAGATTCCCAAAACTCAAACAATTTAGCATTAAAGTAAGTATTTTTTAATAGTATTTCTAATTCTTTACCTTATTTATCTTATTCAGTTAAATCTCCTTTCTACATTGTTAATAGTTCTCTTTCATAACGACTTAATTAATAAAGAAATCCTTCCCGAATTTCAAAATCTTTTCTGCAAATTTATAAATATTATAAAGAAGTCTTTAGATTCCAATTTAATCTAAATATTAATGACTTCTAAAATACTTCTTCATAAAATAGGCAGCTGCAATAGTTACGGATCTACTTTACCCAGATATACAACATATAAGTACTGACTCTCCTCTCTCATTAGTTTCCTCAATGGCATTGTAAACCTAATCTATATTAGTCTTAACTACTATTTACTAAATATTACTTAATATTAAATATAACCTATTCCTCTTTATCTAACCATTCAAAATTAATAACATCAACCATCTAATTATTAATCCTCATTTCCAAAGCAGCGCAATTTATTATTAATGTTATCTAGTTATAAAATTGAAACTAAATATCCTATCAATAATAAGGATTAATACATTAGCAGCTCGTTTATTCCCAATATATAATCCATCTTTAATTTTGAATGCATAGTATAGATATGGGCGAATCATTATAAATTTAAATATATTTCATTAAATTATTACTATTATTTAGAAATGGAAGCTTCTCAACGTTTGACATATTTATTTATGGTAAACCCTTTTTAATAATAATCCTACGATAAATTATATAGATAGATAAATTTATCAATCACAGTTATTTGATCTAGCGCTTAAACCTTCAGAAATAGGTCCCCTTATACTAACATAGATTATACTGCTTTTCATACTTTGGATGATTCTTTTTATAATTGATTTTTGCAGATACTAATATAACTTGACATAAATATTACTTCCAAGCTTTTAACTTTTTATATCTCTCATCAGTTATAGGATATCTAATGTGAATTAAAATTTACCTTTCCTTTAATAATTTGGATACTCATATTTATCTTAATATTTAGGTTATTCCGTACTCATTTTGTGTGATTCTTCTGATTTTATTGTTTCTGATTACTTTCTAGAGTTTTGATGGGGTTAATAAGCAAAAATTCTATTTTATTATAGGGGTATATACTATCTTGATTTAAATTAAATATCTTCATTGATATGAGGTGAATTCTAACGTATATAAGCATCCTGAATTCTTGGTTTATTAAAGTCTCCTAAAGAGAATAATAAACTAGCATAAGATTTATGTTTATCAGGAACATTTTATAACTTAGAATTTAAAGCTTCCTTAAACTTTTGTGTAGCTTAAATAGGTTTGTCAGGAGATTAAGTTGAATCTTTCCTCATAATTTTTTATAAAATATTTGAACAATTAGTTAAATCTTGCTTAAAAGCATTTAATTCCCCAACTGATGTTGAATTTTTAGTGCTTCTATATAAAGTGTTATTTGTTACTGCATTTTTCTAAGATGCTAAAGTGTATCTTCTTTGAATTAAGTATTTTTTGTCTAATGGGTAGTTAAGTTCTTATGAATAGTTGAAGAGGCTTTACATGTTTTAGCTTGCGGAGATATCATGTTAGATCTAATATTTAAATAAAAATCAATTACAAATTTATCTACTTTTTTTAATCCTATTAAGCCTAATTGGCACTTAAATTTAGTAAGGCCTATTTTTATTGCATCAATAAACTAGCTTTATTACTTTCTCGATTTTTATAATTTATTAAAGGTGGATTTGATGCAAATTAAGGAGGAGAGTGGCTATCTGATAATTACTCATAATCTGATATTTAATTTATATTATAAGATTGTACTATCTACTTAGTTTATAAAAGTTCAATCTAATTATTCATCAATTTTACATTATTCTACAATTTGAAAATTTCATATTGCAACTTTGCATTTATTGCAGATTTTTGATTTAGTTTTTCTACTAAATACTAAACTTTCTCATTTTCTGTTAATTTGTTCTAATAACTTATGCTAAATTAATCGCTTTAATTTTTATCTATGTTTATAGAATATTGATGTTCTAATTATTAGATTTTAAGTTATAGTTTTTCGTTTTCTTGTTTTAATTATAATGAATTTGCTTATTCAATGTCTAGCTTTTATTGAAGTTCCTATATTTTGGCATTCAAATCAATTATCTCTAACTTATATTAATTTTTAATTTATTCTTTATCTCTTTATAATGAAAATATTTATTATTTTAGTTCCATATCCACAACATTATTCATTTAATTTTATTTTAGTTGTTGTTTAATCATTGTTTATTCATAAGAACTAGTATTAGTATGATCTGCTTCTGGAATTGCAATTTAGAGTTATTTTTTTACTAAATTTTAGACCATAAATACATCCAGTGAATCCAGTTCCTTTCTAAGGGAAACAAAATTTAGTATTGTTCTTATTTGATGGGGCCGGAGGTTCCTTTATTAGATCTGTATTTTTCTCTTGTAATTGTTTTTCTGAATTTCTTATAGATTCGGATTGACCAGATATTATGGTACTTTGAGGATGAAACTCTTCAAAGACAATATATTAAATTTATGAATTATCTTTTTCTTCATCTAGATTAATGATATTTATAATAAATTAATACTTATTATTGATTATTTTAAATCAGAACAGATTGACTCCTCTTAATTGTTGGATTTGATTTATTAAGATTAAAAGGATTAAGATTATTTAGAGAAGTTTAATTCTTGTTGTTATAAATTCTCTGGAATTTAGCTGCAAAATTCTTCAAATGTGTCGATTTCTTGAACCTGATTGATTTTGAATTAAGTACTTTTGGTGTCTATTCTTTTTAAGATTATTGTGTATCTAAGAAATCTAAAGTGAGTCCAATAGGCTTTCTCATTTTAAATTTAGGTTAGTTAATTTTCATCACTTTTTGAAAAGACTATTATTCGATAAATAAAACTTAATTAATATAAACTAAATAAGAAGTAAAAGTCATTAATTCAAAGCTCTTTTTTCAATCACAATATCCACATACGTAATCCTTATTTTCATAAGATCCTTCTTTGAGGCCCACACATTCAAAATGGTACCATTTTTAACATTTATCACACTAATCAAATATAAATAAAATATTACCTAAATATAATTGAGTTCTGGATTCCATGGCTATTAACAGAGACAGTACATCTATACTGTATTCAGATTAGTGAATTTTTTAGTTTCTACATCCCATTCTAAACGATTATAATACGTAGTGGAATCCAAGTTTTCCATATTAAAGTATTCCTCACAATCAACAACTGTACATTTCTATATGATTGTCTAAGCTAAGACATAATCATTAGTATTAGTTGAGAATATTTCTTAATTTCCAATCCATCTTTTAGCTCTAGGCTTGTGACAAATTATTTCATTTCTTCTCATAAACCAATACACTTCACATAAACAAATTAATTTCTGTGTATTAGGCTCTAAAATAGTACAAATTTTTCTTATTTCACCAATATAATCATCAACATTCCTTTCTTCATTTTTTATGATAACTTTGTCATTCAATTTTATTATCTCACCAGAAATCTTTATTTCATCATATTCCTCATAAAGACAATCTTTGTCTTCAATAGCTTTTTTAACAATCTATGCGAGTTTCTATTATTTATATAATTCTTTGAAAGAAGTATCTTATATGTTTTTTTATTGTTTTTTTGAAATCTTTTTCTTTATTATAGGCTAAGTCTCAGGGGATTATCTATTAGATTTCGATTGTGATTCATTGTTATTATTTGTCCAGTGCACTATGCTCATTATTATTTTAATTTATTTGCAAATACTTATGTATTATTAACGTCATATAGTGAGCAAAAATTATTTGCAGCCATTATCATCGGTTCAAAATAAGATTTCTTTCCATTTATTTATCTATCCCAATTCTAAATAAATTTATACATCCTACACCTTAACCTAAATATTTCCCCTCAACAATTATCAAATTCTCAATAAAACTCAATCCTCTTATCTAAAAAATGTCGAATTTTTTTTTAATTAATCTATTCAGTATTTTTGCTGAAAATGAGCATGTTATCTTGATATTTTTACCGAAAATTGATAAAGCTTCCTATTTTCATTTTATTTTATTTAAAAAAACCTAATTCCATCCTTTCTCTTAAAGTACTTGAAAAATTTATGTGTAAGCCAAGTTTACTATCATAAGCAGATATTTTGGAAATATTTTGATTAATTATATATTACAACTAAGCCTAATCAATATTAATAAATTTATATTCAACAATTAAATACTTGACAAATTATCAAAGCTTTTTATATCAGAATCCATTTTTAATGTATCAATTCCAAGAATTTATTAATCTCTATTTTAATACAAAATACATCTAAATAGATACCTTAATGATTATCATACTGAATTAAATAAAATAGTATTAAAATTTAAGATTAATCAGGTGTTCTTAATATAAGAGAATTAGATTACTACAATGACTTGTTTAAATTTACTTAAATTGAAATCAAAATGAAAAGACATATTTAAATATAAAATCTAAACATAATTGAAAGATTAAAGTATGATTTGATAAAAATAAAGAAAAATTGATGAGATTATAAAAAAGAAAAATTATATATAATGAAAGAATTAATAAAAATAATTAGTTATTAAGTGGATGTATGTGCTAAATATTTTTTTCATGTATCAATTTTTTTATTTTCTTTTTTGGACTTTACAAATTATCTCAATTTGCTAATGCCTTCATTGCTATTTTTCTTAAAGTCGAAGCCATATCTTTTTCCATATCGAATTTATAATAAATAGTCATCTAATGTTTTTTTAGAAATGCCAACTTTTTCAGCAGCTTTATCTAAAGACATCTAGATAAATATTTTATTTTAATCATAAAAGCCAGTATAAAGTCTTCTCCAAAGAGCAACCTATTTTAAAATAGTAGTTTTACTCTTTCAACAACTTGTGAGAGAGTTCTTTATTTAGTTTTTTAATTTTTTTTAGAATTTGTTTCTTCATTTGGTTATTATTCAAGAATGGTATCAAGTAAACTGATTTTGGAAGGTCTAAGTTTCAATTACAATTTTGTCTAATCTTCGTTGATTCTGAAAAAAGTATCGAAATTTAAAGGATCAACACCAAGGTTTTCATACACAGGTAAATTTGGTGTATAGAGTGAGTGATTAACTTATAAAATAGAAAGAAATACATAAATTTGATGTTTCTTCTTCATTTAAGATTTAAATGGTGCTATTTTAAAAATGATCAAGTGGATCAATTTGCATATCTTTAATTGTTTTGATTAGATCATAAATCCAAATTCTATTATCATCAGTGAGTTTGCAATTGATGTCTCCTATATTATAAATTTTATTTTCTTATTAAACCAAGATTGTAACATATAACTTTTTAGTATTAAATTGTATATCCATAGGGTCATTATGATCTAAGTATTGAATTGATGAAGCTTATCTAGAAATGAAAATATAGAGAATACCTTGAAAGTTAAGTTAATTATAAATTGGAAATATTGTTTTATCCTTCAACACGAGAAACTGATCTAGAAAGAAGGGAATAGGAAAGAATTACCTTGAAAGGAAAAGAGGAATGGGTTGATATTTGAATTTATTAGGTTCAATGGCAGCTTTTAGTTTTGATTTATGCTTCCCTGGTGGCATTTTAATTAGAAAATAATATAAAGATTTCGAATATTTATTTATTAATGGAACTAAAGAACTAGATTCTGTTGGTTATTCTAATTCCAATCATCCTTATTCTTATGTTAGCAGTCTTATAAGTTGGATTGTTAGGTTTTGTAAGCATTCCAAGTTTTCAAGATTCACTCCTTGACTTTCATATAAATAGACACTTAAATGGTCTTTAAATAGAAATGAATATCATTGAATAAGTAAAAGACCATCAAATTTTATTAGGAAATATATATCTAATATTAAGCATACTTTAATTAGATTTTCGGAGTGAGTGCACATTTAAGGCATTATTGTTTTGGGGAGTTCTAAAATTATTCAAGCTGGTAAGTATTTTAATTAAGTCTAGGACTTTAGATGATAAATAGATTAGTCTCAATGCATTCACTTCATCCAAAAAAGATTCTTAAGACTATAAGATAGCATGGTCACATTCTAAATATTAGACTTTGACTGAATTATAAAACTAAAGTCCTTAACTTTATTTTTAACTAACCAAAGCTGCTTAATCTCTGATTTTATCTGACATTATAATTAAGTAACAATATCATTTTAACATTTAGTAATACACGTTCTCTTAAACAAGACCTAAATTTGAATACAACGAGTGAAACAGCAACTGATACTGAAGCACTCGTACCAATTAACTATGCTGCCACCATGATACATTGCACTGATTCTTTCATTATAAGGTTTCCTTAGTTTACTGAGGCTTAACAACTAAAACTGACTGGTTTTAATGTTTCATAATGGTTACCTGAGACTCCTATGTCATTAGATCCTACTTTGAACTTCACTATGAAATATGATAGAGATGATGCATTTACAAGTGGACCATCTATTAGTCTAACCTAAATAGTACATCAAACAGATACAACCAAATGTTATATGACAGCCAAGGTTCTTAATTCTTATTTAGAAGATCTTACTACTAGACATCTTTAATAACATGAATCTTAGGGGGAATAAGAGCATTAACTCTTTGTTGCTATTATAAATGAAGAATATACAGTACTTTCTCCCAAAAATTATTCTGATCGTAATGTCACCTAAGCAATCGTATAATATATCAACGATACCAAACATTTGAGTAATTTTTCATATGCTGATTTAATTTTGAAGATGGATGTTCCCATTTATGATAAGATCAAAGAATTAAGAAATAATGATACTCTCAATAGTACTTAATTAGTTTATTCATTTGGCACATATAAATTCTATTTACTCTTTTCAGAAGTAACCACCACTTCATCAAAGAGAGTTTCAATAGTAACTGCTCCTGAAAATGGAAGAAGATATGTTTATATTGAACCTGAAGTTAATGACTTTAAAATGCCAACTTTTATTTTAATTCATTATTTTGAAGAGAATGTTTTAATTTAAGAATTGTATGAAGGGACCTCTCTAAATAATGTAAGAATTCTAGAAATTATTGTGTTGATTGTTATTATTGTTTTGTCAGTAGTTATATTTTTGTTTGTTTGGTATACAGCAACAAGAATAGGATTGTCTTTTGAATAACCAATTAAAGTTTTGACTGAATTCATGAATAGTATAGATATCTAAAACATGGATCAAGAGGAAGAATTAATTAATTATTAAGATTATTTTAATTCATTTGAAATTAAATCATTGTTTCAAACAATGAATATATTTGTTACTACAATTAAATACTCAAATCAAAAGTATTCCAATTCAAAACACTCTGACGCTATAGCTTTAATGGAATTAAGTAGAGCGAAAGATTTTTATAAGAAAGAAATTGGAAATATGAGTGCTGTGGGTATTTGTGCTAATAATATTGGAATTTTGCATATGAAAGGTGGAAGAGTCTTTGAAGCTGTTAATGAGATGGAAGAAGCTATATATATTGCAAAATTAGAATTAACGGAAATTAAAGAACTCAAAAAATGGTGTACAACTATGATGGCTGCACTGCAAGAACCTAATCTTTATCAAAATCTAAGATTGAGACTTAAAGGTCTTGCTAATAAATTCAGATAATAAATAGAAATCACATGGATCAAGAAATTATAAAAGAAACAATAAGAAGAATAAAAAAATGAAACTAATACATAAATTAAAGGAACTTCATCTTAAAGACAAAAAAATGTATCAAATACTTCTAAAAATATTTCAACTACTGTTATTCATTCGAAAAATATTCCACATATGGCCTTGATAAATCCTTAATCAAGTTGTTCCAGTAAGAATACTCAATTAGCAAGTGTGGCAGTAAACTCAGTAACAACTCCCCTCAATAAAAAGAAAAGAACTTTAACTTATGAAAAGAGTCTGAATGATTCCAAAAAGGGACTGTAACCAATCAATTAAGTAGAATAAGAGAATTCAAACTATTATTCACCTTAGTTATCTCCTAATGTGAGCAACAATAGATCTAAATATCTAGGGTAATCTTACAATTAGAGTAGTATCATGCAGAGTCAAAGGCTTGATATGAAAGAAAGCATAATCAACTATGAAGATAAATAGAATAATAATCAATTAGAAGAAAGAGAAAGAAATAATTCAGGATCGAGTGATGTTCAAATGTCTGAACTTTAGATGATTAAAGAGAAACTATCTGAATTGACTAAAAAGAAAAAATTAGCTAAGGCAAAATTATTAAATAGATAATTTTAATTAGCTTAATTTATGTTCAACATATGTATGTAATATTCAGATGTATTCATTCCTGAAACTTTAAAATTATTCACTGATTTTGAGGCTACAGCAGAAAAAGATTAAAGATTCACTCAATCAAAAATAGTTCGACTTATCAATTTGCATGTCAAAAAGGCTTTATGTTATATATAAATTGGAGACATCAGCAATTTCTAACTTTCAGAGCAAAAAGCTGAGGAATATTATAATAAGCTTATCTAAGATAATGCAAATTTAGAATAAGCTCAATAAAATGAGGAATAAGATTTCAACTTTGTAGATATGTTTAAAAACGTACCAAAAGAAGTTCTTTTTTCTAAAATTAGATAGCTAAAGGCTATTTATTAACTTTTAAGAGGAAACTTTAAAACAGCAGCTGAAATTTTAACTGAAATAATTGAGATGGGTGATTATTATGATCCAGAAGTCAGAGATTTTTGTTTAATGGTATTAGAAAAGATTTTTAAATTGTTTAATATCTCTCCTTAACCTATTCAGCAATTTCGAAATTAGATCTCAATTAATGTTTATGAGATAGTATTTATGATAGATTATTCTAAAGAAATGAATATTGAGTAGATTAATCTTTCTCATAGTATTTGCACTAAAATCTTTTCGATCCTTTAACCCTAGGATTTAATAGGAATGTATGGTTTCAATAATTCTCTGCATGAAGCCTTTCCTCTTTAACCAAAAGGAACTTATAAAGATCTATTAAATAAATAATTATATATGGCCATCACAGCTCCTGGAGGTAATTCTAGATTATATCAGGCTCTTAGATTTGCTGTTAAAAATTTCTTTGAACATAAAATAAATATTTCAAATACTAACAAAACAAATGGTAAGTAAGATGAATAAAAGAACAATTACAAAAAAGAATGCAATAATTTTACAATTCATGAAGAGAATGAACAAGATTTATCTTAATCACAATTTCCACCATTATCTAATAATGAAGATCCGAAATAAAAGTAATTATATGTTTTATTTTAGAGCTGATGAATCCTAAACAGAAGGAGAACAAGATACTGAATCTGATAATGATGATATTCAATTTTTCAAAAATGGAAACAATGCAAATCTGAATGCTAAAAGTGAAGATAATATTGATTCATAACAATATGATTTTAGAAGTAGATATAAATTTATTTGTATCTTCACAGAAAGTATTAAATAATTTAATTATTAGTTAATAAACACATGTGTTAAAAGTAAGAGGATAAACTTAAACAATTACTTGAAAAGAATTAGGTTGATTTGATGGTGTTCAATATAGCCAATTAAAATGCAAATATGTTAGAGTTGAAGAAACTTTCAAAAATAACACCCAGAAGCATTTTTGTAAATGCTACAGCTAATCTTGAGTAATTGTTTGGAAAGTCAAGATAAAACTAACTTTAAAAAAAGATGTATTTAGAATTCTTCTGATTCATCCAAACTATCATAATTATTATCTTTTTTTGAGAATTGAATTTAAATATAGTTTCTATGGCTTTTTCATCTTATCATCTAAAATTTATATTTTTGAGTTGAATCTAAGTTTCTTTAAGATTTTGCTCTCTTCAGTTGATAAAGCTCCATTGTTATACTCTTCTCTATCAGATTCTGGTAATGGCTATTCAATCAAATCTCCTAGTGATTTCATTAACATCTCTCCATTCCAACACTATCCTAATTGACTCATAAAAAATTATTTATAATAAAATGATTAATCATATTTGAAACTATTTTTAATAATTTAATGTACGGAGGAATTCCAGAAAAAAAGTTAACAGAGAAAGACATGCGTTTAAATTGTTAAAGTATAAGAGATGAGTTTGAAAAAGAAATAAATATTGAACATTAAAGAATCAATGTTGATTCAGCCAAAAAAAAGGCAGTTCTTTATCATCATGATTATGAAGGTTTTAGATAAATGGTATTGGGAGCAAATCTATATTCTATCAAATCTAAAGAATTAGCCAATTTTGGATTTAATGAAACAAATAATGAGAAAATATTTAATTCTTCTTATCAAAAATAATAATAACCAAGTTAAGAAGAGATTAAATAACTCTAAATAAATATTAAAGAGATTTAATGCAAAAATTTTAGAGATTTTAGAACATTATTTTCTAAACATTATAACAAACCTTTATCATAAGATAATTATGCTGAATTGATGAAGTAAACTTCATGATCTAAAACTTAGTATATTGTAAATGTAGAGTGAAGAAAACATAAAGAAAATATTTTCAGTTGACTTCCACATAGAATATTTTTTTAAAATTTTAGAAGTTTTTGATTATTCAATTTCAATATTGAAGGATGGAAAAGAATTGAGTTTTATGATAGGTTTTTTGGGAGAATTAGTGAAAATAAAGGATTTTATTTAATAGATAAAAAAGTTCTTAAAAAAGTAAGAGAAAGAAGAATTGAGAGAATTTTTCGGAAAATTAAAATAAAGTTTGACAATGGAATACTAATAAATAGAATTAAATGAGTTGATCCATAAAAAGTATGATGAATTAATAATTTAATATTTATGAATATACATAAAATCACTCATTAAAATTTAGAGTAAATCTCTATTTAAGGTTTGCTTTTTTAGAAAACTTAGTTGGGTTAGATTCCTTAGGAATATTAAATTGCTAGGTTGATTTAGAAGTGAAAGCAACTCCATCACTAGAGATAGAAAATAAAATAATACCGATTATCTCTTTATTTTCTTTTGAAAATACGTACGATCCAATTTTCAGAAGTGAAAGCTTCTTCAAAATGCTTAAGTTTATATCCTTTGACTCCAATAACAGCCTATCTAACAGTATCATAACCTTTAGGTTATCCATAAGCAGTTTAGACTTCATCAAATCGATAATAACTGAGTCTATACATGAGTGAATTAGTCATAGTTTCAGTTGCATATTAATCTACTCTGTAAGCTCCATTACCGTAATATTCTTCTTCTTTGATATGTGGATAGACTCCACCACCAATTCTGACCATCCATAAAAATTTATTAATGTCATCACCTGAATAATTTAAGATACCACCAAATATTACAAGAACATAATCCACATCTAATCTTTCACATATTTCAAATGCATCTTCTTCAGATGAAGCCATAGCCATACCAACAGTAGCAATATGAGTATTATTCCAAGTATTATTATCAACTAAAACTGTCCGATTTGACATTCCTGTAATTTAATATCCATAATCCCACCATGACATTATTTTATCATCTGATTTAGTATTCATTCTTAACCAATAATATGCTTCTCTATAATCATCTATAATATTTCTATTTCCTTATCTGTCTCTACTAGAGAGAATGATAGATGGAGAAGCATAAGCTTCAGATCCAGCAAAATTGGCATGAAGAACATAAACAGAACAATAGTATCCTAATAATATTAATCCAATTAATGCTATTTCAGGAGGAATTCTATATTTCTTAGGTTTTTCTAATTTTGGTAAAATAAAAGATCTGATAGATTTTGCAAATTTTCTGAATGACCAACTAATTCCAATTCCAGCCATAATACTAACAGCAGGTGCAAGTACTAAAAGTAATCTTACCATTACTGATGCAAAATAAACTCCAAGAACTGTATAAAGTGCTCCGAATATTTTAGTTTCAGTTGGTTTATAATAACAATAATACAATCCTACTGGTGAAAAGAGAATTAAATAATGTAAATCAAAGAAGAATGATGACCATGTTGTAGCTTAATGTTCAGAAACTGAAGCAATAATTGGAATATATTTCTTTGCATATGTAGGGTCCAAAAGAGTTAAACTTCTTCCACTCCATTATGTCTTACCTGCTAGAGTTAGTATGACTACTCCAATTAAAATAGAGAATACTAAAAACACTACTAAGAATTTAGTAAGTGTGAGGATTGCTTTTTTACTTACAAAATTGCGTATCCAACTGAAAAAGTTTAGGAAGTTTATCAAAATAAATACTGCATGCGATGCCATATGTTCTGATGAATGTAAAGCCTAAAATCCAACAAATGGAATTTGCATAGCCAATAAAGTTCCTAATATGTAAAAGACATTGTAAGCCACTTAAATTCTCTGATTAGAGCGTCCTGTTATTAATAAAAATAACACAAATATTGGTATTATGTTTATAATAAATGCATAACCTCCCCAAGAAGCAACCATATAGAAAAATCTAATTATTTAAATTTAATTTACGCTAAAGCTGTATATACACCCCATAAGATTGATCCTGTATTGACAGTCTTTAGGAAAGTATAAAATGTAAACACAAGAGC